GGGCTGGCATAGGTTGGGACAGGTAGGACGTCTATTGGGTGGAAGTTGGGAATGGTGCTTCTCTCACGGTGGCTCATGGAGGGTTCCCCACTCCACTCTGGGATTGTGGGGTTCGGGGCTGTGGTTCCCTGATTCCTTTCTTTCTCCCTGTTCTCCCTCCTCGCGTCTGCCATTTTCATTATCTCGTCCCTTGTCATATCCAACTGCAGGAATACTTGTTTGAACTTCAGTAGATTTTCTAGTCTGCTCTTCCTTGCCAACAATTCCTCTTTTGTGTTCTCGCTCGTGAATACTTCCTTTATCAATCAGTCTCTGTCCTTGTTGTACTGTCCGAGCCTGATTATTTTTTCAATATTCTGTTCAGCCACGCCCAGATGTGTACACTGGTCGTTGTCACCTTCCCTGGTACCTCCCTGGATGACTGGTTGGGATGTGTTCAGTGGTCGTAGTCATCTTCCTTGATACCTCCCTGGATGACTGGCTGAGATGTGTTCAGTGGTCGTAGTTACCTTTCCTGATATATCCCTGGATGACTGGCTGGGATGTGTTCACTGGTCGTAGTCACCTTCCCTGATACCTTCATGGATGACTGGCTAAGATGTTTTTACTAGTCGTAGTCACCTTCTCTGATACCTCCCTGGATGACTGGTTGGGATGTGTTCAGTGGTCGTAGTCATCTTCCCTGATACCTCCCTGGGATGTGTTCAGTGGTCGTGGTCACCTTCCCTCAAACCTCCCTGGATAACTGGCTAGGATGTGTAAACAGGACCGCAATTGCGTCCCTCGCCTCTAGCGTCTAATATGAGCACTCTCTTCAAATACGGAGCCAACAGTCGGATGGAACAGGCACCTTGAAGAGTCTGTTATTAATACCATTATGTGTGGGTTCTAGCGTACCAAATAACGCTAATGTCCCCCTTGATGTCAACTGTAGCAAGCAGTCTATTAAAACTGTTGAGGTAATACAACTGGATCGATCTCGCATCTCTGGACTTCCCCATTATATTACACAGATATAAATCTGTCGATTATAATCGACAGTTATAACAACAGCAGGAGACTGAAATTCAACGAGGCACTATATATTAAGAAGTCCAGGTCAGCAATCAACAACCAGCAAACACATAATTACATTCTACCCAATTCAAGACCCAGAGCCAACGCAGACATAGCATCCAATGACCCTACTAATATCCCCTGATCCATTTATGCATTGATACTTCTTGATCCATTGATTCATTTAAACCCCCTTGATCCATTTATTCATTGATTTATTTAATACCCCCTTGTTATAGCATTCATCCACCACCTCACACAAAGAGTATATAATACATTGTTTAACAGAGTAAAATTGTCTCTGAAAAGGTAAGGTGTATCTTGCGAAAGGCATTCCCAGGCGTCAGATTAGAATACGGTGAAAAAATAATCTTTGGAGAGTTAATTTTTCAACTTCCCTCAACAGTGAAGAAAAACGTAAGAAATATTGAGAAGATTGCAGTTAGACTCATTAATCTTACCCATTTTGTCATATATATATATATAGAACGCACTTCTCAGCCTACTATGCAAGGCCCGATTTGCCTAATAAGCCAAGTTTTCCTGAATTAATATATTTTCACAAATTTTTTTCTTATGAAATGATAAATCTAGCCATTTCATTATGTATGAGGTCAATTTTTTTTATTGGAGTTAAAATTAACGAATATCAAGCCCTGTTATATGGGAGAACACGTGGTTTAGACACACAACACCTAATGGGTGTTGTGTCTAAATGTTTCTATACTTCTAACTTGCGTGTTTACGCAAGTGTGTGCATTAAGCATGGACCATGTGTTCTCCCATATAACAGGGCTTGATGGAAAACGTCAATTGCCTCTCACTATACCATTGCCTGGAGAGGATGGGTTGTCTGGGAGTTAAATACCCCAGAATTCCCACGTCTTTAGGGCTCTGAGTATAGTGCAGTGGGCATAGGTGCGTACCTGCCATCTTGGTGGCCAGGGTTCAAGTCTACTGGTGGGTGTTGTGTGTTTAAAAGATATATATATATATATATACTAACAAACTAACTAACTATAAACAAACTAACTAACTATATTCGTTTTTGGCGAGTAGAGTATATGCAGTTAAATAAATTATTAATTCTTCAAGGCATTTGCTAAGGTTTTATTTGTTATTCATAATATATAACTTCACAGTGCATGAACGGCATCCTATATTTATAATTGTTACATTTCTTTTTTGTTCAGAATTATATGATGCTGATTATTTAACAAATTTAAAAACACACTTGTTCATTGATTTATGCAACTGTTTTGTGTTTCTTTTGTCGCAGGGAAATGTAGAAAATATAAAATGCGACCCCCTGTTACTGAGAAGTTTGTTTTCATAGTACATAATCAGTCATCTCTTCGTGTTTTCGAGTACGGGGTGATATCATGAAGCCGTCTTTCATGTTGCAGTTTTATTGGGTCTGTTTGCGCTCTTATCACTATTTGGTTGTTGAAGAGTACATGGTGTTGGTGTCCGAATTTTGGTTTGTGGTGATTTTATATTTACACTATTTATTTGGACGGTGTGGAGTTTCGATGTGGGATGATTTACTGCGTTGACGATGTAGTGTTTCGGGAGCTAATGCAGTTGTGTAGGTGTTAATTATGGTGATGTTTTGTTAAAATGTTTTGGTGTCGTGGGAGGTAATGCAGTTGTACAGGTGTTAATTCAGTTGTTCGTCTGTGTTCATGGTTTTGATTTGATGTGTTTGGATAAAAGCAGGTCTTTATTGTGTGATGATTTGGTGTTGGTGTGGCTCTGCTTGTGAGATATTCCTGATGTATTTGAGTTCGTGTAGTTTCTCATGTGGTGTTGCTCGTGTATTGGTGGATCTTGTAAGTCTTTTACAGCGTGTATGATAGTGGTTATGTGAACTTTTTGTTTTCATTTAATTTTCATTTGATTGTGCAGTGTCAGCTTGCTCTCGTTTTAATCCATAAAATATTTATTTTAATTGTTACTTGAGAAATTTTAACTGTTAATGCATTTACGTGAAGCAAATATTTCGTTGTTTCTCGAAGGATATTAAAAGACATCATAGCATTTTTGTGCAGAATATGCTCAAGATATGCTTCAGCTCCTGTGTGGTCTTACGTTTACTCAGGCATGGAAATCATTTGTTGATATAGACCTTTGATCAACAAGTGATCTCAGTCTCATGTCATTCATGCCCTTTAGGCTGTCAGCTGAGAAATATATATATATATATATATATATATATATATATATATATATATATATATATATATATATATATATATATATATATATGTCGTACCTAATAGCCAGAACGCACTTCTCAGCCTACTATGCAAGGCCCGATTTGCCTAATAAGCCAAGTTTTCATGAATTAATATATTTTCTCTAATTTTTTGCTTATGAAATGATAAAGCTACCCATTTCATTATGTATGAGGTCAATTTTTTTTTATTGGAGTTAAAATTGACGTAGATATATGACCGAACCTAACCAACCCTACCTAACCTATCTTTATAGGTTAGGTTAGGTTAGGTAGCCGAAAAAGTAAGGTTAGGTTAGGTTAGGTAGGTTAGGTAGTCGAAAAACAATTAATTCATGAAAACTTGGCTTATTAGGCAAATTGGGCCTTGCATAGTAAGCTGAGAAGTGCGTTCTGGCTACTAGGTACGACATATATATATATATATATATATATATATATATATATATATATATATATATATATATATATATATATATATATATATATATATATGTTCTGAGTTAATACATCGCACTGTGAGATGTCACACAGTGAAATGTATTAAGTACTCATGTCAACCTGGAAAAGCCTTTTTTTTATATTCCATATGACTTCATAGAGCTCAGTGGGGACACTACTCACCCGTCTAGTTAAAACACTCAAAATACTGTTTAATTTTAAGAATGTTCAATCAGCTTGTCTTATATTTTTTATGTTTGATATGTAGGATGAATTGAAGGAAAATTAAACACCTTTTTTAAGCTTGTTAAAGGAGCAGCATTTTTTCTACTTACATTTAATATGAGCCTTACTAGTTAACTGCACAGAATTCAGATACAAAATTGGATATACGACTGAAAACCTCTTCCAATATATAATGAAATCCAAATAACAAGATTTATCTATGATATTTCTAACTTTTAAAACTGTTAAGGCATTTCTATAATTATGTCCAAATGGAAATCTGAGTTTCAACTTGATATATATATATATGAAAGCTTAAGCAAACATATGTATATATTATATCTTCACACATGAAAATTTAAAAATAAATAAGCATTGTTATAATGATTTTCAAAGTCATTTTCGTTTTAACACAGCTGAGTCTGTTCTCCATGAGTTTATCTTTGATATGCTAATAAAATCTCCGATAACCGATATGTTAATCTGACACTGATATCAAAATCTAATCTCTAATCTCTCTCAGACCAAAGAAACGAAAATGTGTTAATTCTTACTTAAATCTGTTGCTTCCATAACCAAACACATGTTCTTATTGCTCTCATACAGTCGTCTGGGAAAATGCATCGACCATTATTATCGTGAAACATCCATTAAAACTCCAAGTAGACTGTTTATGATCTTTGTGAACCTCCATTACTTTGAGAAAATATTGATTAAAGAGCGATAATGTGGACCCTACCTCCCCCCCCCCCTTATTTCTAAACTCATAGATACATCGAGTAAGTGAGATTTCATTTTGCTAATTTTAATTTATGACAACTTCTTGATTTATGTGCGGGTCCAAAGTAGATCCGTTCAAAGAGAAGCTGGATCTTTGCCCAAATCAGCCCCACTTAGATTATTCTTCCTGGGACGGGATGGCCCCTGACCTAGGCCGGGGTGACCCCTGACCAAGGTCGGGGTGACCCCTGACCAAGGTCGGGATGACCCCTGACCAAGGTCGGGATGACCCCTGACCAAGGTCGGGGAGACCCCTGACTAAGGTCAGGGTGACCTCTAACCTAGACCGGGGTGACCCCTGACCAAGGTCGGGGTGACCCCTGACTAAGGTCAGGGTGACCTATAACCTAGACCGGGGTGACCCCTGACCAAGGTCGGGGTGACCCCTGACCTAGGCTGGGGTGACTTCTGACCAAGGTCGGGGGGTGACCCCTGACCTAGGCTGGGGTGACCCCTGACCAGACCAGAACCCACGCCCACTGGCTCGACACATCAGACATGGGCGGGAACGACACTGTGATATTCGACGCCCGCACCGAACCCATCTGTTAAATACAATAATATAATATATATAATATATATAATTTGTATAACAATGTGATTATATTATGTGATATGTGATTTTATTAGATAAATGATATTTCATTTATCTTACAAAAATAAAAATTGCATATAAAAAAGTTAAAATATATATATTTCAACTTTATATAGTCTTACTTCTTTACTTAGTACTATATTTAGAAATAAGCCATAAATTGTGCGCTCGATTAGTGCCTTTATAAACAAACAATATTCCTGATATAAAATCAATGTTATCAGAAAATATGTAATTTTTATAAATGTTATATAATAAAAGTATTATCAAGGAAGTCCCTTTCTGTAAATAATTTGAATACTGGGGTCATACTTTTTATGCACAAATGGGTATAGAAGAAGACGACTTCTGACTCGTGTTTGCAGGTTCAGAGCTTACAGGTCGGAGTTCAATCTCTGACCATCCAAGTGGCTGTGCAGCACCATTTTTCGCCCTCCCATCCCAAATCCTTATCCTCCTCCCTTCTAAGAGACATATATAGTCGTAATCGCTTAGTGCTTTCTCCTGATAATTACCCTACCTTCTCATAGTACATCTTCAGCCATTAAATTTCCACTGGAATATGACCCGTCAATCGCCTTTTTCATCCAATCTCTGAATTTTACATTCTATGAAAGTGTGCGTTGTGATTCAAGTAGATGTAAAGGAAAGCAATAATAATTCGAGTATCCTATAACTTACGCGTGACTAATTGAAAGTAGAATTAGTAAAATTATTAAATATTACCAACCTAAAGCTGTCTTTGATTCAATATTCATTGTTAGATCGCCCTTTCAAAACACAAATACCCTATATCATGGCGTTATAGGTATGGTTATAGGCATCACTGTTAATTTCAAGATTACCAACTTATTTGACCAGTTGATTTTTGTTGGATGGTTATTTAGTGCAGTGAGGGTGAAGAGAGGCGTTGGAGAGCTTACCTGGAGGGCGTCTTTGGGGTAGCCAAGCATGGTGACGTTGGTGGACGCGGTAGGAACCAACGCGCCCAGTACCAGCTCATCATTCTCAGGCCAGTTAAGCACTATGGTGTAAACCAGGTCATCTTTGCTGGTGTACCTAATGACAGGAATGTTTATATATATATATATATATATATATATATATATATATATATATATATATATATATATATATATATATATATATATATATATAGAATGTGGGGACCCATAGCCTCAGAGAAGAAAATAAGGAGTATTCAGAGAAGACCTTCTGAACTCTCACTGAACACTAATATTATCTTCTCCTACCACCCGCATTCTTTTGTATATATGCATATATATTTGTTTTATTTAAACTTTGTTACAAAAAAGATGTTACATTTAGGGTACAAAGATGATTATCATAAGTTGTCGAGTTCCTCCAGCTCCTCAGATGGCGGGCAGGAACCCTAAATGCAGTGTGCATTTCCTCTCTGTATTGCCATGCTGAGGCGCTGGAAAAGAAAGCTGGCAGCTCTAGGGTCCTTTGTTGTTTCAATGTGCCTAGAACCCAGTTCCTTCAATGAACTGGTAGCATTTCTATCCCAGTCGCCGAGTGTCTTAGAAGCAATGGGGACGAAATTGTTGTGGTGATCCCGTTCTCTGTACTTACGGGATTTGGCTGCTTCCCTGTGGGTGGCAGCGCCACCTGGTTGTGCAACACTGAGGTCAAAGTAGGTGTTACCCAGGGATGATACGCACGTGTAGTCCCATACCAAATGATTTTCATTCTTCCAGGGGTTCACTGTGATACCATCTGGGCGACCAATAAGAGCATCGGAGTTACGGGCCATTAGGTAACGGGGCTCTCTTTCAGCTGGGCATCCAGCTGTGGTGAGGCTCCTCTTGATGATGTCGTTAACTTCACTGTGCCTCGAGTGCCATCCCCCTGTGCTTTGGCAGAGTAGGCCATGGTGGCCGTACCTGTTAACCACCACCTCGCCGCAAATACACCTATATCTGGTGTGGAATGGGGCAGCAAGGCGGAGTTTCTTTCAAGGTTTCTTTCAAGGCGTTCTGTTTTGTGTTTGAGGAGTTCTTCATGAGTAGGTTGGCCATCTTCTTGTTTTTGTTATAAATTGTTAATTGTATCTTATGATTTGTGTCTGTAGGGATAACGTTCCTATTAATAATATCTTTCAGGACACATTTCTCCGTTTCGTGAGCCGTTGAAAAGAAGTTCCTGTAAAACAGTCTAATAGGTGGTGAATGTATGTGATTTGACCTATTCCCATCTTATGTATGTGACTGGATATATTCCCTTCTAATGTGACTGGATCTATTCCCTTCTAATGTGACTGGATCTATTCTCTTCATATGTAACTGGATTTATACCCATCTTGTGTATGTGACTGGATCTATTCCCATCTTGTGTATGTGATTGGATCTATTCCCATCTTGTGTATGTGACTGGATCTTTTCCCATCATGTGTATGTGACTGGATCTATTCCCATCTTGTGTATGTGACTGGATCTATTCCCATCTTGTATATGGTATCCCAAAAGGACCTGTTACTTAACTTAAATTATACAAATACCTCTTTTAAGCAAGGACACCTCCCAGGTGTTTAAACTGATCGATAACTTACACCACTTGACAGTTCACTTGGATTACTAACACAGATTTAACTTGTCCACTCAAATTTAAATATTTTCATTTTGAATTTAATAACTTTTTTCCACTAATCTCAATGTATTTTTCAAATTGACTGTGTAAGCCTCTTTCAATTATATATTTGGTTATTACTCACATATACATTACTTTTAATTCACAGTAGTTACTCCCTTTAGACTAACTCTGGGAAAAACTTAAATTAATATCAAATCACTCATTCCAAACTCATTCCAACTTAATGTATTGCTCCTGCACTGATTCCTATGTCGAAATATTTCTCATTAATTAACATAACCCCGCCAGATATATACACGCTCTCACACACTTCACAGTCTTTCTCTATTGATTGTTATATGATTTTAATAGATCATAAATATCACGAATATATCACACACTCCCTCTCATCTGTCTGCACTTCAAGCTGTCTTATGGTGAACATGTAATCTAGACTTCGTCTTTCATATCAAAAGCCAGCTTGTTCGTCACTGATCAGCTTCTCGGTAAATTATTGGAATCTTCAGATCCTCATAAATTAATTAATATGACCGGGGTAATCCTCATAAAATTCTAGTTTGTTGTCATTCAGTTTTACCATCACTGCCTTTTTCTAACCCTCCGGCACGTTATCACTAGTCAGTGCCTCCAGGCCAACTTTCCGCGCGCATTTCATTTATCCCCTCAGCATTTAATCTTTTCTGTTCGTTCATTACTTGCAGTTTTCCCCACGTTCCTTATTGTTCCTTCTCCTCTACCAGATATATCGGGTGTCATGACCGCATCAGGTGTCATGCGCTCATGAACTCTTCTCACATTAATCTTCTTCACATTAGCATCCCTCTTCACTTCCACTCATTAAATCGTCAAAGCGTCTACTGTTTTCTCAATAATGACCCGTCAATTTTCCTCCACTCACTCATTCGCAAACATTTTTGTTCTTGACTGTAATTAATCTTTTTAAATACACTTTTTCTTTTTTCTTGGCATTCTCCAGTTTCTTTCTCTCTCTCTCTCTCTCTCTCTCTCTCTCTCTCTCTCTCTCTCTCTCTCTCTCTCTCTCTCTCTCTCTCTCTCTCTCTCTCTCTCTCTCTCTCTCTCTCTCTCTCTCTCTCTCTCTCTCTCTCTCTCTCTCTCTCTCTCTCTCTCTCTCTCTCTCTCTCTCTCTCTCTCTCTCTCTCTCTCTCTCTCTCTCTCTCTCTCTCTCTCTCTCTCTCTCTCTCTCTCTCTCTCTCTCTCTCTCTCTCTCTCTCTCTCTCTCTCTCTCTCTCTCTCTCTCTCTCTCTCTCTCTCTCTCTCTCTCTCTCTCTCTCTCTCTCTCTCTCTCTCTCTCTCTCTCTCTCTCTCTCTCTCTCTCTCTCTCTCTCTCTCTCTCTCTCTCTCTCTCTCTCTCTCTCTCTCTCTCTCTCTCTCTCTCTCTCTCTCTCTCTCTCTCTCTCTCTCTCTCTCTCTACCATAGAAGCCTACCTTTGCTCTCTAGGTCCTGGGAGGTAAAGGTAATAGACTCTTGGATATTTTTGTCTCTACTGGAGTGAATTTGAGTTGTAATTCCCTAGTGCCGTGCACCCGTACAGTTCCCTAGTGCCGTGCACCCGTACAGTTCCCTATTTCCGTGCACCCGTACAGTTCCCTAGTGCCGTTAACCCGTACAGTTCCCTAGTGCCGTGCACCCGTACAGTTCCCTAGTGCCGTACACCTGGACAGTTCCCTAGTGCCGTACACCCATACAGTTCCCTAGTGCCGTACACCCGTACAGTTCCCTAGTGCCGTACACCCGTACAGTTCCCTAGTGCCGTGCACCCGTACAGTTCCCTAGTGCCGTGCACCCGTACAGTTCCCTAGTGCCGTACACCCGTACAGTTCCCTAGTGCCGTACACCCGTACAGTTCTCTAGTGCCGTACACCCGTACAGTTCCCTAGTGCCGTGCACCCATACAGTTCCCTAGTGCCGTGCACCCGTACAGTTCCCTAGTGCCGTACACCCATACAATCCCCTAGTGCCGTACACCCGTACAGTTCCCTAGTGCCGTACACCCGTACAGTTCCCTAGTGCCGTACACCACTACAATTCCCTAGTGCCGTACACCCGTACAGTTCTCTAGTGCCGTACACTCGTACAGTTCCCTAGTGCCGTACACCCGTACAGTTCTTTAGTGCCGTACACTCGTACACCTCTCTAGTGCCGTACACCCGTACAGTTCCCTAGTGCCTTACACCCGTTCAGTTCCCAGGTGCCGTACACCCGTGCAGTTCCCTAGTGCAGTACACCCGTACACCTCTCTAGTGCCGTACACCCGTTCAGTTCCCTAGTGCCGTACACCCGTACACCTCTCTAGTGCCGTACACCCGTACAGTTCCCTAGTGCCGTACACCCGTTCAGTTCCCTAGTGCAGTACACCCGTACACCTCTCTAGTGCCATACACCCGTTCAGTTCCCTAGTGCCGTACACCCGTACACCTCTCTAGTGCCGTACACCCGTACAGTTCCCTAGTGCCGTACACTCGTACAGTTCCCTAGTGCCGTACACCCGTACACCTCTCTAGTGCCGTACACCCGTTCAGTTCCCTAGTGCAGTACACCCGTACACCTCTCTAGTGCCGTACACCTCTTTAGTGCCGTACACCTCTCTAGTGCCGTACACCTCTCTAGTGCCGTACACCTCTCTAGTGCTGTACACCTCTCTAGTGCCGTACACCTCTCTAGTGCCGTACACCCACTCCTGCAGCACAGATGGCGTGACACTAACGGCACCTTCTGGCCGTGGGCAGAAGTGTGGCATCAATCCTACACGGCCCAGTAGGGCAGGGAATACCTGGGTAATTTCAACTGTGGAAATAAAATTCGGGTGATTTAAATTTAGTTAAAATTCACCAAAGCTGGGCGGCTCGTCACGCTGGAGCAGTGACGGGGGCAGGGCAATTACCGCACTCCAGGAGTGACGGGGAGAGTTACCAAACTCCAGGAGTGACGTGGGGTACTCTCCATACTCCAGGAGTGACAGGGGGACTCACTACACTCTAGGAGTGACATGGGGACTCATCACACTCCAGGCGTGACGGGGGGACTCACCACACTCCAGGAGTGACAAGGGGAGTTACCACACTCCAAGAGTGACGGGGGACTCACCACACTCCAGGAGTGACGGGGGGACTCACCGCAATCCAGAAGTGACGGGGGAACTCACCACACTCCAGGAGTGACGGGGGTACTCACCACACTTCAGGAGTGAGAGGGGGGACTCACCACACTCCAGGAGTAACGGGGATACTCACCACACTCCAGGAATGACAGGGGGGACTCACCACACTCCTGGAGTGACGGGAGACTCACCACACTCCAGGAGTGACGGAGACTCACCACACTCCAGGAGTGACGGAGACTCACCACACTCCAGGAGTGACGGGGGGAATCACCGCATTTCAGGAGTGACGGGGAACTCACCACACTCCAGGAGTGACGGGGGACTCACCACACTCCATGAGTGACGGGAGACTCACTACACTCCAAGAGTGACGGGGGTACTCACCACACTCCATGAGTGACGGGGGACTCACAACACTCCAGGAGTGACAGAGGGGTTACTCACCACACTCTAGGGGTGACAGGGGACTCACCACACTCCAGTGGTGACGGGGGAACTCAATATATTCCAGGAGTGACGGTGGGTACTTACCACTCTCCAGGAGTGTGAGGGGTCCCTCTCCGGGAGTGACGGGAGGACTCACCACACTCCAGGATTGACGGGGGTACTCAGTACATTCCAGGAGTGACAGTAGGTACTCACCACACTTTAGGAGTGACGGGGGGACTCACCACACTCCAGGAGTGACGGGGGTACTCACCACACTCCAGGAGTGACGGGGGGTACTCACCACAATCCAGGAGTGATGGGGGATACTCTTCACACTCCAGGAGTGACGGGGGTACTCACCACACTCCAGGAAAGACGGGGGTACTCACCACACTCCAGGAGTGACGGGGGTACTCACCACACTCCAGGTGTGACGTACGGGCGGGTACTCACCACACTCCAGGAGTGACGCGGGGTACTCACCACACTCCAGGAGTGACGGGGGTACTCACCACATTCCAGGAGTTACAGGGGTTACTCACCACACTCCATGAGTGACGGGTGGTACTCACCACACTCCAGGAGAGACGGGGCTACTCACTACTCTCCAGGAGTGACAGGGGGTACTCACCACACTCCATGAGTGACGGAGATACTCACCACACTCCAGGAGTCACAGGGGGTTACTCACCACACTCCAGGAGTGACGGGGTACTCACCACACTCCAGGAGTGATGGGGGTACTCACCACACTCGAGGAGTGACGGGGGTACTCATAGGAGTGACGGGGGGGGTACTTACCACACTCCAGGAGTGACGGGGGTACTCACCACACTCCAGGAATGACGGGGGGTACTCACAACACTCCAAGAGTGACAGGGGTACTTACCACACTCCAGGAGTGACGGGGGTACTCACCTCACTCCAGGAGAGAAGGGGGGTACTCACCACACTCTAGGAGTGACGGGGTTACTCACCACACTACAGGATTGATGGGGTGTTACTCACCACACTCCAGGATTGACGGGAGGTACTCACAACACTCCAGGTGTGACAGAGGGGTTACTCACCACACTCCATGAGTGACGGGTGGTACTCACCACACTCCAGGAGAGACGGGGCTACTCACTACTCTCCAGGAGTGACAGGGGGTACTCACCACACTCCATGAGTGACGGAGATACTCACCACACTCCAGGAGTCACAGGGGGTACTCACCACACTCCAGGAGTGACGGGGTACTCACCACACTCCAGGAGTGATGGGGGTACTCACCAGGGGTACTCACCACAATCCAGGAGTGATGGGGGTACTCACTACTCTCTTGGAGTGACGGGGGTACTCACCACACTCCAGGAGTGACGGGGGTACTCACCACACTCCAGGAGTGATGGGGGTACTCACCACACTCGAGGAGTGACGGGGGTACTCACCACACTCCAGGAGTGACGGGGGTACTCACCACACTCGAGGAGTGACGGGGGTACTCATCACACTCCAGGAGTGACGGGGGGTACTCACCACAATCCAGGAGTGATGGGGGTACTCACCACTCTCTTGGAGTGACGGGGGTACTCACCACACTCCAGGAGTGACGGGGGTACTCACCACACTCCAGGAGTGATGGGGGTACTCACCACTCTCGAGGAGGAGTGACGGGGGTACTCACCACACTCCAGGAGTGACGGGGGTACTCACCACACTCCAGGAGTGATGGGGGTACTCACCACACTCGAGGAGTGACGGGGGTACTCACCACACTCCAGGAGTGACGGGGGTACTCACCACAATCCAGGAGTGATGGGGGGTACTCACCACACTCCAGGAGTGACGTTGGTACTCATCACACTCCAGAAGTGACGGGGGTACTCACCCCACTCCAGGAGTGACGGGGGGTACTCACAACACTCTAAGAGTGACAGGGATACTCACCACACTCCAGGAGTGACAGGGGGTACTCACCACACTCTAGGAGTGACGGGGGGGGTACTTACCACACTCCAGGAGTGACGGGGGTACTCACCACACTCCAGGAATGACGGGGGGTACTCACAACACTCCAAGAGTGACAGGGGTACTTACCACACTCCAGGAGTGACGGGGGTACTCACCTCACTCCAGGAGAGAAGGGGGGTACTCACCACACTCTAGGAGTGACGGGGTTACTCACCACACTACAGGATTGATGGGGTGTTACTCACCACACTCCAGGATTGACGGGAGGTACTCACAACACTCCAGGTGTGACAGAGGGGTTACTCACCACACTCTAGAAGTGACAGGGGACTCACCACACTCCAGTGGTGACGGGGGTACTCAATATATTCCAGGAGTGACGGTGGGTACTTACCACTCTCCAGGAGTGTGAGGGGTACTCACCACACTCTCTGGAGTGACGGGAGGACTCACCACACTCCAGGATTGACGGGGGTACTCAATACATTCCAGGAGTGACAGTAGGTACTCACCACACTTTAGGAGTGACGGGGGGACTCACCACACTCCAGGAGTGACGGGGGTACTCACCACACTCCAGGAGTGACGGGGGGTACTCACCACAATCCAGGAGTGATGGGGGGTACTCACCACACTCCAGGAGTGACAGAGGAACTCACCACACTCCAGGAGTGACGTGGGTACACACCACACTCCAGGAGTGACGGGGGTACTCACCACACTCCAGGTGTGACGTGGGGGGCGGGTACTCACCACACTCCAGGAGTGACGCGGGGTACTCACCACACTCCAGGTTGTGACGGGGTACTCACCACATTCCAGGATTGACGGGTGGTACTCACCACACTCCAGGAGAGACGGGGGTACTCACCACACTCCAGGAGAGACGAGGGTACTCACTACTCTCCAGGAGTGACAGGGGGTACTCACCACACTCCATGAGTGACGGAGATACTCACCACACTCCAGGAGTCACAGGGGGGTTACTCACCACACTCCAGGAGTGACGGGGGAAACTCACCACACTCCAGGAGTGACGGGGTACTCACCACACTCCAGGAGTGACGGGGGGGAGGGGGGGGGGTACTAACCACACTCCAGGAGTGACGGGGGTACTCACCACACTCCTGAAGTGACGGGGGTACTCACCACACTCCAGGAGTGACGGGGGGTACTAACCACTCTCCAAGAGTGACCGGGGTACTCACCACACTTCAAGAGTGACGGGGGTACTCAAAACACTCCAGGAGTGACGGGGGGTACTCACCACAATCCAGGAGTGATGGGGGTACTCACCACACTCCAGGAGTGACGGGGGTACTCACCACACTCCAGAAGTGACGGGGGGTACTCACCCCACTCCAGGAGTGACGGGGGTACTCACCACACTCCAGGAGTGTCGGGGGGTACTCACAACACTCCAAGAGTGATAGGGGTACTCACCACACTCCAGGAGGGACGGGGTACTCACCACACTCTAGGAGTGACGGGGGGTACTTACCACACTCCAGGAGTGACGGGGGTACTCACCACACTCCAGGAATGACGGGGTTTACTCACAACACTCCAAGAGTGACAGGGGTACTTACCACACTCCAGGAGTGACGGGGTACTCACCACACTCCTGGAGTGACGGGGGGTACTCACAACACTCCAAGAGAGATAGGGGTACTCACCACACTCCAGGAGTGACGGGGGTACTCACCACACTCCAGGAGTGACGGGGGGTACTTACCACACTCCAGGAGTGACGGGGGTACTCACCACACTACAGGAATGACGGGGGGTACTCAATACACTCCAAGAGTGACAGGGGTACTTACCACACTCCTGAAGTGACGGGGGTACTCACCACACTCCAGGAGTGACGGGGGGTACTCACCACACTCCAGGAGTGACGGGGGGTACTCACCACACTCTAGGAATGACGGGGGGTACTCACCACACTCCAGGAGTGACGGGGGTACTCACCACACTCCGGGATTGACGGGGGGTTACTCACCACACTCCAGGAGTGACGGGGGTTACTCACCACACTCCAGGAGTGACGGGGGTACTCACAACACTGCAGCAGTGACGGGGAGTACTCACCACACTCCAGGAATGATGGGGGTTACTCACCACACTCCAGGATTGACGGTGGGTTACTCACTACACTCCAAGAGTGACGGGGGTTACTCACAACACTCCAGGATTGACGGGGGTGTTACTCACCACACTCCAGGATTGACGGGGGGTACTCACAACACTCCAGGAGTTACAGAGGGGTTACTCACCACACTCCAGGAGTGACAGGGGACTTACCACACTCCAGTGGGGACGGGGGTACTCAATATATTCCAGGAGTGACGGGGGGGTTACTCACTACACTCCAGGAGTGACGGAGGGTACTACCACACTCCAGGAGTGACGGGGGGTACTCACCACACTCCAGGAGTGACGGGGGAAGGGTACTCACCACACTCCATTAGTGACGGGGGTGGGGTACTCACCACACTCCAGGAGTGTCGGTGGTACTCACCACACTCCAGGAGTGACGGGGGGTACTCACTACACTCCAGGAGTGACGGGGGGTAATCATCACACTCCAAGAGTGACGGGGGTACTCACCACACTCCAGGAGTGACGGGGGTTACTCACCACACTCCAGGAGTGACGGGGGATACTCACCACACTCCAGGAGTGACGGGGGGTAATCATCACACTCCAAGAGTGACGGGGGGTACTCACCACACACCAGGAGTGAAGGGGTTACTCACCACACTCCAGGAGTGACGGGGTACTCACCACACTCCAGGAGTGACGGGGGATACTCACCACACACCAAGAGTGAAGGGGGGTAATCATCACACTCCAAGAGTGACGGGGGGTACTCACCACACACCAGGAGTGAAGGGGTTACTCACCACACTCCAGGAGTGACGGGGGATACTCACCACACTCCAGGAGTGACGGGGGGTAATCATCACACTCCAAGAGTGACGGGGGGTACTCACCACACACCAGGAGTGAAGGGGTTACTCACTACACTCCAGGAGTGACGGGGTACTCACCACACTCCAGGAGTGACGGGGGATACTCACCACACACCAAGAGTGAAGGGGTTACTCACCACACTCCAGGAGTGACGGGGTACTCACCACACTCCAGGAGTGACGGAGGGGGGGTTCTCACCACACTCCAGGAGTGACGGGGGTTACTCACCACACTCCAGGAGTGACGGAGGTTACTCACCACACTCTAGGAGTGACGGGAGAGTGACGGGGTTACTCACCACACTCCAGGAGTGACGGGAGAGTGACGGGGTTACTCACCACACTCCAGGAGTGACGGGGGGGGGGTACACACCACACTCCAGAAGTGACGGGAGAGTGACGGGGTTACTCACCACACTCCAGGAGTGACGGGAGAGTGACGGGGTTACTCACCACACTCCAGGAGTGACGGTGTCGTTCTGGTGTTGCCAGGGTGTGGTGTCGTACACCGCCTCGCCGTTAATGTCCAGCCAGGAGCCCAGCTGCCGGAGTCGCTCCTCCATAATGGCCGGGATGCGACCGTCGTGCGTCGGGCCCACGTTGATCAGTAGGTTACCTGTCGGACGCATTAAAAAAACACAATTGTTGCTCACTGTGAAGACTGAAGATATAAAAATGAGACTATACGAGGTCTCTATAAATTTGCAACAAATTTGCCTACTTGCAAATATATACCTAATTAAACCATTTTCGATTGTTAGAGAAGCAAATAACTTTTGGAATAAAAAGATGTCAAAAGAAGGTGCCAAGCCGGTTAAATTGCAGAATGAATTATTTACCGATTAATCAGGGATTTTAATACGTTGATAATTATATAGTTTACGTTTGATGAAGGAGCTTATAATGTATGAACGATAAAATACACTGAAGTGGTTCCAAAACACTTGAAGGACTTAGTGCCATCTTGCAAACGTCAAAAATAATTTAATCAGTCGACTAATTAAAAGCAGATTTATTGTTCAAATTAATTCTATAAAATGAATCTCTTTAATAATTTGGGATTTATTTGAAATTATAGAAATTCTCTATAACGTAAAAATCAATGAGAGGGACATTTGCCACCCCCGTCCCTAGCTTGTGATTTCCGCCAGGGTGGTGAGGGGGAACTTAGCCACCTACCTCCACAGCTGGTGGTCTCCGTCAGGGTGGTGGTGAGGGGGAACTTAGCCACCTACCTCCACAACTGATAGTCTCCGCCAGGGTGGTGGTGAGGGGGAACTTAGCCACCTACCTCCACAACTGATAGTCTCCGCCAGGGTGGTGATGAGGTCATGGATGGTGAGGTAGTCACTGAGAACAGCTTCACGACGGTAGCCCCACGAGCCCTTGTCCAGGGTCATGCAGTTCTCCCACTTGTGCGGCTGTAACACACCTGTCACAAAGAACCTGGTCTTCTATATATGTAATGTGACAGACAATAACTGCTTAACTAGAGTTGTTCGTTTCTGAGATCATAAGAAACAGCGTTCAACTATTTAAAAGTTCTTTACAAACATTTTAAATGTCTTCTATATTACAACCTGGTCACAAATTAACTCCAAAATCTTCAATCTACTTGAAACAACATTAAATGCAATTTACGAATGACTCACAACATCTTCAACGCTCTAAGTTCTTTTGAAAATTTGCATGGCATTGGGTTTGAGCCTTATCATTCTCTGGAGTGTTATTAAGGGTCAACACATTTGCCTACTAGCAAACTAGGTATAATTTAGCGTGGAACATAGTCCAGGACTAAGGCAGACTCTGTGCAGGTCTGCACTGATAAACTTTGTACACCTTTTGATGCATTTGTTTACACAGTATTGAAAACTGCTTCTTTTATCGGAATTACCTAAAGCTAGCTCCTCATAATCGCCATCGGATGGATAGCAACACTTCTTAACACTCGTTTCATATTTTCGAGTCATACCTTCATATTGCTTCGTGTGCATGTTCCAGAGAGCAACCACTGGCAAAGGGATGGAAAATGGCCAATGCTAGACCGAGTATTGCCGGCTAATAGTTTTTTCTGCATGTCTGACATTGCTTCAACACAAATAATAATGACGAAACGTGAGAATGATTGTGGCTTCGTTGTGTTTGTATGGTGAGCTATCCACTATGTACTCAGAGACCATTAACAGGAATTCAAACAATCTTTGTATGGCTTTCCCTTTAACACGAGATATGCTATAGGCTATGTGATATTATAGCTCCTAGTAGGTGATTGTATAGGATCAGCAGCTACATCAGAAGCTGTTCAGGATAAGTGATTTTCTTATTTCTCATATTCGAACCTCACTTTCAAAGCTCTCCAAGTTTGTTCTGTAAAAAAAAAAAAATTTCCACGAGGAAATTCACGTGCATTATGAAAATTCGCATTCCTTAAGAATCGAACATTGTTGTAAAGTTGCTATACGAGGAATAGATTCACAAGCAGTGAAACTGCGATATAAATGTTGAAACTGTTGAAACAAACTCTGATACAACTAGAGTCTACCTGGGTTGTAGCGATCACTGCAGGTGTAGTAGGACCCGTGGTGGCAAGGGATTCCGGAGCCCCATCTGTCGTTGGCAACGACGGTGTCCTTAACTGGGGAGTCGTTGAAGAGCCAGGCCAGGAACACCGTAGAGTTCCAGTACCAGTCAGGAGCTTCCCAGTCCCCATCCGACCATATCACCTCCGGATGGTAGGTGTTGACCTGACCAACCAAGAACCTCAGTGATGGTTAAATTATTTTATTTTATTAGCTTGAGGATAACATGTTACTTTCCTACACATCTATTTTATTTTCACATTTAACACTAAAATTTATGAGGTAAGATAGTATTATGATACATGACACGAATGCACTGACCAGTTCGTAAAGTTCCGGCATGGTCTTTGAGACAACGAAGTTGTTGGTAGCGTATTTATTGGCCTTGTCGTCGAGGTAGAGTGGGTGGAACCACTCAAACATCGAGTGGTAGAGCCCGAAGTGGATATCTGGGGTAGTGGATCTAATTGCTTTAGCGAGGTCACCTGCATAGAGAATTAAAGGCATGCATTTATTTGAGTTATCCTAGAAACATGCTCTGTTTGGCTCTTAATACATAACGTTCGAAAAGACAAATGATGATCAGAGAAGGGGGGAAACACCAAACTTGACCATAGCTAACCTAACTGTCTCTCTGTGTCTTATTATGCGTTCCATTGTTCAGAATGTCCAAGGCTTTAACGTACATTCACTGTCAATTTGGACAATTAAGCTAAGGTGTTTGTAATTCGTTATTGGTACGAATTTTATTAAACATAGGCATGCGTATAAAGGAATGAATAGCTATTCGTATAGATGTTTGATGTACAAATGTATATTATCAGACAAACAAAAGTTTTGAGTTTTTTTGTACCTGAAAATTGATAAATTAGGTTATTAGAGGCCTTAAAATCTCTTTGCTGTGGAGTTAAAATATCGTTAATTCAGCCAGGTCTGGACATTAGTAGGATAGGTATCACTCACAACGTACACCATATCCATCTTTACAGTTATCCCTTCGCAGTGCAAACGAAGATCTCATCCACTGAACAAGAAATTTAAATTTTGACCGTAGATCAGTTATAGATTACCAGAAGAAGGATGAATTGAATGCAGGGGAATGCAGGGGAGAGCTGGGGCGTGGAAGGTAGATGGTCAGTGATGTAGGTGTTTAAGACGAGGCTTAAGGTGATGTAGGTGTTTAAGGCAAGTTTTAAGATGATGTAGGTGCTTAAGACGAGGTTTAAGGTGATGTAGGCTTTCAAGGCGAGGTTTAAGGTGATGTAGGTGTTTAAGGCGAGGTTTAAGGTGATGTAGGTGTTTAAGATGAGGATGCTAGTCTTGTAACAGAGTGGGGGAGGAAAATATGATTTGGGGCTGGAACTGGCGAGTTTGAGAGATGGATGACTAGAGTGGTTGTTGGAATTGACAAATTTATTAATTAAATATCCAGTAAATGATTGCTGAAAACCTAATAGGTGGTGCTGCGGGCTGGATATGGATGAGGAGGAGCGCTGTTCTGTCTCAACACTGGTGGCTCATTGTGTCTCTCTTACTGTTGATTCCCCTTATATCTTATAACTGTCTTCACTCTCAATTTTGTCTGGTATATGGAAGTATGCCGAGTATGACCTTCTGAGCACCAGTATGATATATGAAACACACTTTTAAGAGATTCAAAACAAATAGTAAAGGTGTGCCAAAATAATTTTTTAACGCTGAGTCAATAACTTGGGAATCAATTAATTGTCCAAAACACAAATGTTTATCTCCAAATACTGCATTATGATTGTGACTTATTATTATTTATTTAGGCTGGGAGTAATACGAAAATACATTGAAGTGCTACCCACCCAGAAGGTCTTAGGTGCAACATCCATGCTGTTCCAGTTCCAGAAGTAGCGAGAGTGTTACTTACCCAGGAGGTCCCTCTTAGGTCCGACATCCATGCTGTTCCAGTTCCAGGAGTAGCGAGAGTGTTACTTACCCAGGAGGTCCCTCTTAGGTCCGACATCCATGCTGTTCCAGTTCCAGGAGTAGCGAGAGTGTTACTTACCCAGGAGATCCCTCTTAGGTCCGACGTCCATGCTGTTCCAGTTCCAGGAGTAGCAAGAGTGTTACTTACCCAGGAGATCCCTCTTAGGTCCGACGTCCATGCTGTTCCAGTTCCAGGAGTAGCGAGAGGGCCAGTTGGTGAAGCCTTCGTGGTGTTTGCTGGTGAGGACCACGTAACGGGCCCCAGAGGCATTGAAGACGCTCGCCCACTGCTCGGGGTTGTAGAACTCAGCCGTGAACAACGGCGCGAAGTCCGGATACGTGAAGTTTGGCCGGTAATTCTTCTCCATAAAATCCACATAGCTCTTGATGTGCGATCCTTATGAAAAGACAATCATCCAGAAAAATATTTAAACGAAACAGGAGCAATTAAATTAAATTAATATTTTCAAATTGGGTAATAGTACTAATCAGGAAAATAAACTCACGATGCAATATAAATAATAGGAGTAAAAGCAGTAAATAAAACAATTGTGTTAGGGTCAACATAGTTACAGGAGGAGGGAGCTGAACCATCAGTTACAGGTGTCACGTTGCTTCAGGTGATAACATATCTGGAGTCATATATAGTTGACTGATTACCGTGGGAATTAATAAAGATGTTTTTTTTTACCATGACAATCATCCCTCTCTCTCTCTCTCTCTCTCTCTCTCTCTCTCTCTCTCTCTCTCTCTCTCTCTCTCTCTCTCTCTCTCTCTCTCTAACATTAGTGGCGGCACACAAATAAAACAGTATCGTAATCCAGTTAGCACTTCTCTTGACATCCCATAATGCAGTTTAGGCAACTATTCCAAGCATGAACCAAAAATGATTTTTCCTGAGCCCTGATGATCTCATGTAGAAATGTGTTAATTGCTTTATGATTACGGTTATGATTAAACCATTAACCATGGTTTATAACCCACAGACCACCACAGTGTACACACAGACCACCACAGTGTACACACACAGACCACCACAGGGTACACACAGACCACCACAGGGTACACACAGACCACCACAGTGTACACACACAGACCACCACAGGGTACACACAGACCACCACAGTGTACACACACAGACCACCACAGTGTACACACAGACCACCACAGAGTACACACAGACCACCACAGGGTACACACAGACCACCACAGTGTACACACAGACCACCACAGAGTACACACAGACCACCACAGTGTACACACAGACCACCACAGTGTACACACAGACCACCACAGTGTACACACAGTCCACCACAGTGTATACACAGACCACCACAGTGTACACACAGACCACCACAGTGTTTACACAGACCACCACAGTGTACACACAGACCACCACAGTGTAAACACAGACCACCACAGAGTACACACAGACCACCACAGTGTACACACAGACCACCACAGTGTACACACAGACCACCACAGTGTACACACAGACCACCACAGTGTATACAAAGACCACCACAGTGTACACACAGACCACCACAGGGTACACACAGACCACCACAGTGTACACTCAGACCACCACAGTGTATACACAGACCACCACAGTGTACACACAGACCACCACAGTGTACACACAGACCACCACAGTGTATACACAGCCCACCACAGTGTACACACAGACCACCACAGTGTACACACAGACCACCACAGTGTATACACAGCCCACCACAGTGTACACACAGACCACCACAGTGTATACACAGACCACCACAGTGTACACACAGACCACCACAGTGTACACACACATACCACCACAGTGTACACACACAGACCACCACAGGGTACACACAGACCACCACAGTGTACACACACAGACCACCACAGGGTACACACACAGACCACCACAGAGTACACACAGACCACCACAGAGTACACACAGACCACCACAGTGTACATACAGACCACCACAGTGTACACACACAGACCACCACAGGGTACACACACACAGACCACCACAGTGTACACACAGACCACCACAGTGTACACACAGACCACCACAGAGTACACACAGACCACCACAGTGTACACACAGACCACCACAGGGTACACACAGACCACCACAGTGTACACACAGACCACCACAGTGTACACACAGACCACCACAGTGTACACACAGACCACCACAGGGTACATACAGACCACCACAGTGTACACACAGACCACCACAGTGTACACACAGACCACCACAGTGTACACACAGACCACCACAGAGTTCACACACAGACCACCACAGAGTATACACACAGACCACCACAGTGTACACACAGACCACCACAGTGTACAGACAGACCACCACAGGGTACACACAGACCACCACAGTGTACACACAGACCACCACAGTGTACACACAGACCACCACAGTGTACACACAGACCACCACCGTGTACACACAGACCACCACAGGGTACACACAGACCACCACAGTGTACACACAGACCACCACAGTGTACACACAGACCACCACAGTGTACACACAGACCACCACAGGGTACACACAGACCACCACAGAGTACACACAGACCACCACAGAGTACACACAGATCACCACAGAGTACACACAGACCACCACAGGATACACCGGGGATGTTCATGTATTACAATAAATGTATACTTGAATATATATATGTATGAATATATGTATTTATGAATATATGTATGTATGAATATATGTATGTGTGAATATATGTATGTATGAACTTAACTTTGGACAGAAAGAGATGGTCATGACTAACAATTTTATTTTCTTCATAAAGCACCAGCTGACCATTGATATATGTAATATTTAAAAAAAAAATCTTGATATCAATCAATCAGAATGTCTGTTTGTCTGTTCGAGGTTAGAAGACGAACCCTAGGGGATAGCAACACCAATCTTTTCACAGTGATTCCTGCGCGGTACGTGCGTATCATGGTCGGGTCTGGGTATCACAATTTAAGAGAGAGAAATGTGTACTTTGGTCATATATTGAACATAACGACGGTTTTGACAATAATTCCATTATGGCTAAATACTGTGACAAATGAATTTTTCACAAGAATTACTATTTCTTTCAGTATTGTAAAACATTAGGCAAAAATCTCGGGAAAATTGAACAAAAAATTCTGCTCATCATACTTTATAGTAGCAGCAAAATGGCGAAACTTTGAAAATATATCAACATCTCGACGGGTCTAACATCCCCTCCTCATCTCTCGAGCCCATCCACCAGAATGTTCCCCTCCCGCCACCTGCTACCTTCCCACCCACTGGTTGGTCATGAACCTTTGAATGGTCTGAAATCATGGTTTTTATTTTGCTGATAGTGAGCTCTTGTTTGACGTTATATAATATTTCATGTTCTGTGTGTTTGTGTGTGAGAGAGAGAGAGAGAGAGAGAGAGAGAGAGAGAGAGAGAGAGAGAGAGAGAGAGAGAGAGAGAGAGAGAGAGAGAGAGAGAGAGAGAGAGAGAGAGAGAGAGAGAGAGAGAGAGAGAGAGAGAGAGAGAGAGAGAGAGAGAGAGAGAGAGAGAGAGAGAGAGAGAGAGAGAGAGAGAGCGAGAGAGATAGAGAGAGAGAGAGAGTGAGTGAGAGTGAGTCTGACGAACAGAGAAATAGACATAAACATATAGGCACGTCGTACAAATCAAATCTTTGAACTGATTTGATTTGTAGCTCCATTAACAATACAGATATGCAGCAGGGAGGAGAGGAGTCTCCCTGGTTTCACTAGTGATTAGTTGTGTTATCCTGTATACTTTCTATGCCATTATATGCCACTCATACTTGTATTTCCTTAAAACTAGCTTGATATTTCTGGAAAAGCAGGAGTAATCAGTGATAAATGAGTGTCTAAAGACAAAAGAGTTGATTGAATGCACTTGATGTATGATTTCTTTCAGAAAAATGAATATGTATCATCCGTTTGTGAAATATTTCCTCAAGTGTGGATGTGGACATCAGGTCAGGCTGGAGACTGCAGTGAGCGTGAGGAT